CGAGTTAAACCATACCAATTTTATCAAATTCCAATAACAACTTGACCTCCAAATCTTAAATTTTCGATCTAGATAAGTTTTACAAAAATCTTAATTTCTTCCATTTAAATCTGAAATAAATGATGAATATAATCATAGAATCATGAAGTATAATTACTTTCGAATATAGAGCACTTACCCTAATCCATATGGTGAAAATCACCTCAAAAATCGCTTCAATCTGAGCTCCATAACTCCAAATATGTTAAAAATGGCCGAAACCTCGAAATATAGCTTTTGCTCAGGTATTTACTCATCGCGATCATGGAAAATGCTTCGCAATTGTGAAGCACAATACTTCTCAGCACAACATATGCCCTTCGTGATCTCGGAACAAGCTTTGCGATCGCAAAGAACAAATGCTCAGCACTTCCAGACAAACTCTAGTTTACCAGCCATAGTTTTTTGTATACAACTCCAAATGCCAAATGGTTTGATTTTCTGGAAAATAGACACAAAGAGCTACAACTTTTATTTTTGGATCATCTCCAAATTTCTTATAGATTGCAAGATACAAGCTTCCAAAGTCAGATCAGTGCAGCAGAAACCTTCCTCTACGCGATCGCGAAAGACCGTCCGCGATCGCGACCAATTCCCCATGATGGCGTAGCACACTGCTGTAGCCAAAAACCAACAGCTAAAAATGGCCTATAAATGGTCGAAACCCATCCCGAAACTCACCCGAGCCCCTCGGGACCCCATCCTAACATACCAACAAGTCTTAAAACATAACACGGACTTAGTCGAGGCCTCAAATCATATCAAACAACGCTAAAAATATGAATTACACCCCAATTTGAGTCTAATGAAACTAAGAAATTTCAATTTCTACATTCGATGCCGAAACCTATCAAATCACGTCCGATTGACATCAAATTTTGCACACAAGTCATATTCGACATTACGAACCTACTCCAACTTTTAGAATCGGGATCCGACCCCGATATCAAAAAGTTCACTCCCGGTCAAACTTCTCAAAAACCTTCAAATTTATAACTTTTGCCAAATGACCCCGAAATGACTTGCGGACCTTCAAATCAACTTTCGGACGCGCTCTCAATACCAGAATCATCATACGAAGTTATTCCCAGACGAGGAATCCCAAACAGACATCGATAACATTGAAATACACCTCAACTCAAATTTATGAAATTCTTCCAAAAATGCTAACTTCTACTATAGGCGCCGAAACGCTTCCGGGTCATCAAAACCCGATCCAGACATACGCCCAAGTCCAAAATCATCATACGAACCTGTTGGAACCTTCAAATCCTGATTCCGAGGTCGTTTACTTAAAATTCCAACCTTAGTCAATTCTTCTAACTTAAAGCTTCCGAAATGAGAATTCTCTTTCCAAATCAACTCCGAACTTCCCGAATTTTAATTTCGACCACGCGTACAAGTCATAATACCGGAAGTGAAGCTACTCACGACCTCAAATTGCAGAACGACATGCCAGAGCTCGAAACTACCGGTCGTAATTTAGTTATTTCATTTACTCTCATCGAGCGTATACCCTAACACCCATATTCAACTCCTTGTGGAAATCGACCCCAACTCTTGTTGGGTACTATTCTTTCAACGATCGTTTCCACTCACTATTGAGTGTGAATTGGACGTGGATCAAAAAACCTAGTCCCCAACCCATGCTCGTAAATGCAATGAGGTGATTGAAAAAGCAAGGCTCGCATTTGCGAGTCAGACCTCGCAAATGCGAGATCTATAGTCTAGCACCAGCAATAGCATTGCACCAGCTAGTCCAACCTTAACCAAACTCATCTGAAATACGTCTGAAACTCACCCGAGCCCCTCGGGCTCCAACTCAAACATGCACACAAGTGTAATAATATCATATGAATTCGTTTGCGCAATCAAATCACCAAAATAACATCTAAACATACAAATCAAACCTCAAAATGAATGAAATTTCAAAGTAAAACTCAAAAACACTAGAATCGCATTTAAGCGTCTGAATCATGTCAAATTAATTCCGAATTGAACCAAATTTTACAGACAAGTTTCATATGGCAATATAGAACTATTCCAAATTTTAACATCAAAATCCGAACCCGTTAGCTAAGAAGTCAACATACGGTCAAACCTAGTAATTCTTCAATTTTCAAAAATGCTAATTTTCAGCAAAATGAGTTAAAACAAGCTAGGAACTTCCGAATTAAATTCCGGGCATAAGGAAATCATGATACTGACCTACCGGGACCATCAAAATACTGATCCGGGTCCGTTTAATCAAGTCATTTCAAAGATAAAAATTCACATATTTCTTAAATTTTTCACCTAGAAATTTTTCTAAAAAAAATTCGAACTGTGCACGCAAATCAAAAACGCTAAATGAAGTTATTCGAGGTCTTAAAATATGGAAAGAATGGCTAAAGCTTAAAATAATCTATCGGATCATCACATGTTCTTGAAAAATACTATCACAAATAGAGTTAATGCATAATCAAGTGAATTATTGAAAGAATCACTTAAATACTCCAACTCTTTTATTTTTTGGAATGAATTTCAAAAAGTGGTTATAATAATTATAAAATTTGGATTCAAAATGGTGACATGCATAGGAAAGGGAAGCAGTGTGAAGCAAAGGTTTATAGGAGTGATTTTACAACAAATATTTTTTCTTCACTAAACAAAACAAAAAAAATACTCCTCCATTTAACTTTACTTATCCGCTGTATAAAAAATAAATGTTCATTTTTATTTATCTATATTGAAAAATTAATAGATAATTTATCATTTTATACTTATTTTACCTTACATTTTGGATTTATAATAGTTAAAGTTAGTTTTCCAATAAAAAAAATAGGGGATACAATAAATTATCATGTTATTTATTATTTTTAAGGGGTATGACAAGTCAATAGTGGACAAGTAAACTTAGATGAAGGGAGTATCTACGAAGTATCTACCAAAATTGAGTATTACTTGTTAGATATCCTTCAATACTACTGAGGAGGGTGATGAGATGATTAAAATTTCTAATTCGAGACTTGGGAATGAACAACATTTTCATAAAGAACACTTCATCCATTTAATAGGCCTAGTTGGCGAAAAACTAAAGTTAAAATAGTATGGGCTAATCAATTTTTGGATTAATAATTAAAAAATAGTCAGCGTTTGCAAAGTCATTGAAAAATAGTCATCATTTTATGCGTAGATAAAATCTAAAAAAATAATATACCCTTAGCAAACACGAAAAATCTAGCACAATATGATGGATTATGAAACTCTGCGTATAAAACTTAGCACATTGGATTGGAGATCAAACTTCAAAGACACCTGTATGCAAATTCCAACATATTATGATGGGGTTTAACTTGTAAAAGTTCAAACTCCAGTATAATTCACACAAAGAATATTTTGAACTCCAACACATTATGGTGGAATGTCATATGTAAAAAGTTCAAACTCCGACATATTATGCTGAAATTTTCTGGATTTTAACTTAAAGGTATTTTTGTCAAGATTTTATTACTGCATAAACAAAAGGCTAAATTTTGATTAATTTTACAAAGAGACTAATTTTTAATTATCAGTTATAAATCAGGTTAGTTTTGAATTTCTCCCAAAACTAAATTTGTTTGAACTTTCAAAATATGAAATGATTAAAATATATAATCTTTTATTAAGAATAAATAAATTAATATATATGTTTGAAGTTTGAACTGGCTCCATTAATTGATTAAATTAAACTTAAGAGAAGAGTAGCAAACGAATTCAATGGTCTATACTAAGACTGTATTGTGGGCCGGGTCGGGCCAAACGGTCCCGGGCTTTGGCGGTCCCAGGCTAAACAGTCCCGGGCTTAGTGGTTCTGGAGGGTGGAACCGGCCCACTACGGGCCTAAGCCCACATGGTCCCGGGCTAAATGGGGTCGGGCCCATGGACCTAAACGGGCCTAAGTGTTCCGGGCTATTTTTTTTGATTTTTTTATCTAAAGCAATTTCTTGTAAATTATATNATTAAAGTTCAATGCCTTCAACATAATACTTTAAATTAATCTAACAAACTAAAACATTAAGCATAATACGTCTAATAATTTTAAAATAACACAAATTGTCTCAAATCAACTTAAAATCTTAAATATGAATGTCTGGAGAAAGCGCAAGACAACTCTTTATATGCCTCTTTAAATAACTTGTGCCCTCCTTTGGACGACGAGTGTAGACTCGACCACAGTTCTTGCACTTTATTATGTAAATTTCTTCATTTTCTTCTACCACATTAAAGTGTTCCAAAACAAATGGGTGCAATCTAGAATCACCGGGCATGATTTAACTTGAATTAAGAATTTGAGTTTGAGAAATGAGAGATGAGTGAAGACTTGAAGACTTGAATACTTCAATTTGAGTTTGAGAAATGAGAGAGATTGATGATTTTGTGAGTAAAAATGAAAGAATGATGGGTATTTATAGTTGAGAATAGGGAAAAAGTGTAATTATAAAAAGTTTGGTGTTAAAATAAAGTTTGAGGGTCAAATGACTATTTTTTAAAAAGCCAAACGGCTAAAATGGCAGGCCAACGACTAGTTTTTAAACTTCTAACCGTAATTTTTTTTTTGAAAAATAGTCGTTGGGCCCATTTGGCTCAGTTGAACCGGCCTAGGTCCGCCTGCCGGTCCCGAGCTCGCGGTCTATGTTGGGAGGACCGGCCCACAGTGGGCTTTTAGGACCGTTAGAAATAGACCCGTTTGGTCCGTTTGCTAGCGATCCCGGGCTGGCCCGGCCCACACTACAACCTTAGTCTATTGAACAAAGAACAAAACAAAAGAAACCGAAAAAGAAAAAAGAAAGTTTACAGCCCTAAAACCCTTTTAAAACCCTTTACATTTCTTCAACTGTCCATTTTCATTGCATCAAATTCCCACAACCAAATTCTTGTTACAAAGGTAAAACTACTGATGCTAAACTCTATGTTCTGCAAACCCTTTTATTCATACCTCTGCATATCTCTAAAAGTGAAAAGTAAAAAAATGTATTAAAAGACAAACAAAAGAGTTCACTTCTCCTTCAATTTGGGGTTGTTTGTTCTAGCTTCCTTTTTTTTTTCCTGACATTTTGAAGCACTAAATTATGGTTCGTTTTTGTTTTTACTTATTACATATTCAAGATTGCTCCTTTTTTTGTGTGTGCTTTCATTTTTCCTTGAATGTTTTTTAGGATCAAGAATGTAACTTAACATATTCAAGGTTTGTTCTTTTTATTTTCAGGTTTTGTCATTTTCCTAAAAGGGGGTCATTTCTCAACCTGTAAGAGTCATTTTGGTGTTTTTTTAAGTTGAAAAATGCCAGACATTGAAGTGCTTGTGAATGATTTTGTTGCAAAGCTCAGTAAACGGTTAGTATAGTTATAGCATTCTTTTTTCCTATAATGAATTAGACTTTTTATTTGAATTTTGTCTGATTTTTAGCTGAGTAATCTGCTTTTGTTTGTGGATGATAGTAAGGTTGAAGGGTCACAAGCAACTGCTCGTTTAACGGCAGAGTTGCTTCGTTCTGTAGTTTCATTGCAAAGACTGCCACCTATCAATCCAGCTGCAGTACTTATTGAAGCTGTGAGGGGTATAGGCGTAAAGTTAATCGCTGCCAATCCGGTTGGTAAGCATTTTATCTGCTCTTACAAATATGACGATCCCTTTGTAGAAATTTGATGTTCCAGAATGGAATTTTCTTGTTATTTGTAGTTTATGATTTTTCCAATCCTAGTTGGTAGTGGGGAACTCGGATGCCAAAGACATTTTTAATGCAGAATAGGTCATTTGCGTCTTATATTCAATCGCCTATGGATTTGCTTTGTGTTTAGTTTGATGCCAGTTTCTTCATTTCTGAATTTCTACGATAATTTGAATGTGCCTGGTTATCCGATTCTGTTAATCTCGGTTAGATGTCACTCGTAAAACACATTTGACATATGGTTAGTCAAGAGTCAGTAACTTAGCTGCATTTGTTTGTTTCATTTAAGGACTGGAATTATGCTAACATGTAGTAAACTATTACCTTTCTGCTTTTTTTGTTTTGTTTTTGATGAAGTAAGATGTTGTATTAAAAGGCATCAAGAAGATGCAAAAGATCTGCTGTTTCTTTCGGTCTTGAAAACATTATGCTAATGTTATACTTACCTTGACATATTTTTTGGACCTAGATCTTGAGGGAGCAATACTGCAGGAATAGGCAATCAATAAGCTCTTGCTTAGTGTGTGAGATTTACTTTAAGTTTGGGACTAGATTTTGTAGTTTTGATGTTCACAACAGAGCAGTTTAAGTGGATCCAAAGGATGCTGATGGCTCTTCTGCACATTTGTATGCAGCATAAATGTGATATTTTTGTTCTTTTCACAAAATCCAGGTGCACTTATAATCTGTCCCTAAGCTGATCCTGTCCCTAAGAAAGTAGGAATAAGAAAAATAGTCAGAAACTGATAAAGCTGGCCCTTACAAGCATGTTGATAGATCAGCTAAATAGCGCACGCTGTCTCTCGCTCCTTCAATGTCTTTTGAAGGTGGGTCCATAGAAATGTTGATTGAGAAAGCATAACCTCTTTCAACACCCTGATTGGAAGGGGTTGCTAGATTTCCCATTGTAAATTGCATTTGATAAAAGGTTCCACCTGTTACTCGTCATGTATATTCATTCATACTAAAAGTTATTCCCTTCATTCCATTTTATGTGGTGGTGTTTGACCAAGCACCGAGTTTCAGAACCAAAAGAAGCTTTTGACACATAAGCTAAATGTGTGCAAAGTACCAACATTACCCTTACTACCAACAATTAAATGTGTGATGGTGAGAATTCCCCCTTTCATATTTCTTTTAAACCAGATAGATGTGTTCTCCAGTCGTTGGTTCAGTGACAAGGATTGTCAACAGTACTTTAAATGAGAAGTCACAGAGAATTAATGACCTTTAATAAAAGCACTCCAGATTAAGTAATCATATTTGTTATGCGAAGAATAATATAACCAAAAATTTGATGAAATTGCAGAGCTTGCTGTTGGAAATATTGTTAGGCGTGTTCTTCATATTATCCGGGAGGAGGATCTTTCTCTTTTGGCCAGTAAAACAGGCGACTTAGATTTATCAGCTGCAAGTGATGATGAAGGAACCATAGACCACGATTGTGACCCAATTCAGTCTGCTGCAGCAGCTGCAGCTAAAAGCTTTTTACGATCTCCCTCATTGCATGCACTTCTGGAGAATATGCCCGATAAAGCTTTACCGAGTAACATATACACCTCCTCTTCGGGTGGAGATTCTGAAGAGAAAAGCAAAGGTAAACACTCATGTGCTACATGAGTTTAAAGCAATTTATAACAGCAATCATTTTTTAGTTTCAGCACTGAATTATCTGCTATTCTGTGTTGCAGCTGATAAACTTGCCAGGACTCGGAAGTTAAAACATGACGTCATTGAGGCAATTAACATACTAATTGAAGATATTGATACTTGTCATGAGCTGATCGCAGAGCAGGCAGTTGAGCATATTCATCAAAAGTACTTACCTTTTACAGCATACTGGAGAATATGTCTGTATTGTGTTATGCAAACTGGATGTCTTTTTTTTTTTTTTTATAAGTAATGCATACTAGATATTTCAAGTAACATTATAGTATGAACTGAACACACTCAATGGATATTGTTGTTTCACTGTTTCGCCATAGTTTACTGTCCGAGGGTTTTCCCTTCACAGTGACACAGGGCTTACAGCCTGGGTTTGTGACAAATGCTACTTGCTGGATAGACATTTTACCTAATAAATTTACACATTCTTTCACATCAGTGACAAATCTATGTTCCGAAAGTACTGTAAAAATGACAAATTTAGGTTGGTAGCCTAGACATTTTACAAAATTTATGGTGGATGGCCTTCCTCACATTGCTCTTGGATGATAAAGTTTCGATCCTAATTGCAGCTCACATGTTCTTCGCGGTTTCAACCTTTACCTCTAATGTATTTTTTCGTACTTTTTCCCCCTTTGCGGGCATATTGCTGTATAGCTGTATGGGACATGTCTTTTCTAATCAAATGTGATAGCTCATTAAGAAATGCAATTTTTTTCAGTGAAGTAATACTAACATTAGGTAGTTCAAGAACTGCCTTGGAATTCCTCTGTGCCGCAAAAGAGAAAAAACGGTCTTTCCGGGTGGTTGTTGCAGAGGGTGCGCCAAGGTTTGTGGAGTATTCTGCAATTTCCAAGAAATAAATTAATCTCGAAATTTATTTCTCATATTAACCGTGAACTTTCCCTTCTCCGTCTGTGTTTGATCAGGTACCAGGGGCATGCTCTTGCAAAAGAGCTGGTAGGAAGAGGTCTACAAGCTACAGTCGTAACAGATTCTGCTATTTTTGCAATGATTTCTAGAGTAAATATGGTACTTAACTTTCTGGATTTGCTATTTTATCCCTACTATCAATCTGTACTTGGGCTACCTGTGCTTAGAACCCTAATCTTGTTTGTGTAGGTTATAGTGGGAGTTCATGCAATGATGGCCAATGGTGGTGTTATTGCACCTGTTGGTATGAACATGGTCGCACTTGCTGCTCAAAAGCATGCTGTTCCATTTGTAGTAGTTGCCGGCATTCACAAGGTATCTGAGCTTTACTGGCTCTTCCATGTATTTAACTGTCAAAAAGGTTTAATTAAGGGGAGGGAGAAAAAAGATCGAAATCTTGTGAGGTATCAAACTTGTGCTGTCCAGCTATTTAAGTGGCTATTCCTTTAACTCTTTAACAATTGGCGGTTTTTATGCATCTCGCTGATTGTCACTCCCGAACTAGAAGGCATCTGATAACACGGGAAGACCTCAGTTTTTCTGGTTTGCTAAATCATGTTAAGAACCTTGAAATGTTGTGGAAAATATGATTCTGTTCCCTTGACATTAGGCTTTGCAAACCCTTGAATTTGTTACAAACTTTTACATTTGCCGCCTAAATACACACTCTTTTTCTACTTTTGGTTGTATTTATTATTAGTTAAACCTTTTAAATGTTTTCTTTCTGTTACAGTTGTGCCCTTCATATCCACACAATCCAGAGGTTTGTCTTAATGACATGAGATCCCCTGCTGAACTTCTGGAATTTGGGCAATTTTCCAATTGCATGGATTTTGGAATGGATAGTAGGGCTCCTCTTGTTCAAGTTGTTAACCCCGGTTTTGACTACGTGTCAGCTGAGCTTGTTAGCCTTCTCATCACCGACATGTAAGGACACTTTACCATTTTTGTATTAGAAGTTGGCTTGCAACAACAAATACCTAAATCCTGAAATAGTACATTAAAGAATTGTAATATTAAAACACAATTGATTCAAGTTTCTACATGCAAAAGTTTGGTTATTTGGAATTATTCTCAAGGTTCAAGGGAGGAACGTAGGGGGTATTTGCAACGTATTATTTTACCACGCTAGGGATTAATCAGTAGTTTTATGATAATAATACTTGTTACATCTTTTCTGATTTGCAGTGGAGGCCATAACCCATCATATATGTATCGTCTCATTTCCGACTACTACTCAGCTGATGATTTTGATTTACAAGGGAGACAACGTAAATGAAGGTGATTGGAGTAGAAGTTACAGCCAGAAATGGCTTCCTTACATAGAAGAATGTCGCTGTGCACCTTGACTCAACGGACAGTTGTTGATGGCTGCAGAGTGTGGAACAGATGGGACTGAGATTAACCAAAAATCAAATGGAAATTGTTAAGCTTTTTCCATGTGGTTGTTCTGTTTGCTTAAAGGATAGCTCTAAGTGAGCTTTAGCTGAAATACTCTTCATCATACTGTAGTCTGTTCAGTCTATGTTTGACTTGTTTACTGTAAGATCCCAAAGGTGGTAATACTAGCTTGTTTTCTTCTTGTTATAGATGAATGTGCCTTTTTTTTTCCACCCTTTGTCCGCGACTGGTAAAGTTGCCCAGAGGTCACGGGTTCGAGCCATTGAAAACAGCCTCTTGTAGAAATGCAGGGTGAGGCTACGTACAATAGACCCTTGTGGCCCGACCCTTCCCCGCGCATAGCAGGAGCTTAGTGTATCAGGCTGCCCACAGCCTTTTTCTTTGTCAACGACTAAGGGACGATCGTGTGAACTTCAGAAGCAGCATCACTTTCAAAGGCTTATTCAGGCCAAAAAAAAAAATTCCTTAGCTGTAAGATAGTGTTTTTATTGGAAATAGTTGATCAAGGAATTCCCAGGCTTATTTATGAATAGCATGCAATTACAAGGCTAAATCTTTTCTCTAAGCTATAAGAGAATATTTTGATCAAGATATTCTTGGAAAGAGTAATATTATGAAAAGCATATAATCAATAAATCAACAAGCAGTGCCAAAAAATATTAAGTACTATTTTTGGGGCATCAAATTAGTGAACAAACAAAGATGCTATCATGTTCAAGGTTCTACTTCTTGCTAAGATCAATCCCAGCCTTCTTGGCAACAGCATCAAGTCCATTTTTCTCAATGGTTTTTATGGCCTTTGTTGACAACCTTAGTTTCACATAGCGCTTGCCTGCCTCCCACCAAATTCTTTTGTATTGAAGGTTCACGAATTGCAATTTTTTCGTCTTGTGGTTAGAGTGAGAGACCTTGTTTGCCCTGTTGGACTTCTTCCCAGTGAAGGGGCAAATTCTACCTGAAAAACAGAAAATATGCTCCATTATTATTCTATGTTGTACTTCATCACAAAAAGGCGCCAACATATGTGAACACGGACTACAAAAATTGCAGTGATATAGTGATTCTATGATCTCATCATGTTCTTTTGATAAGTAAGCAAAAGTTTCATTGATAATCCTAAAGCCAACACTAACTGCTGGACTTGACGAAAAGGAGTCAACCTTCTACAGGTTGTTGTCACATAATGAGTATGAATTGACCAAGCTGTTCTAATCATTATATGTACTTACTCCAGACGGGCTAACACACTAAGACTCAACTTTAAAGAATGTACAGCTGTATATTTTCCTTCCAAATCTACGCTCCTGTAACATGCTTTCCAAGGCTCTCATTTCACTAGTTCAGCTCGTTAAGAATAAAGATACAAGTGGACAAAGGATATTAAAATGGTTACCATTCTACTTGACAGCCTAAAACCTATCTTCATAAACTTTGGACCTCAATAAGTAGCAGTATTACGTTCCACTATTAGACTGCAAGTTTTACAAAATGGCAAGCTGCAGAACAGGAAAACCTGCCTAAAAGAAAATCCTGCTTATTAACAGGAAAGTTGGAAAAGCAAGATAATGAAAACTGCATCTAATCCCTCAAAATTTATTGAAACATGAAGCTCCGCCTTTAGGCTGCGCAGAGTNTTTTTTTGGGTAGCTTAGACTCTAAGTTGCAGTACAGAAATGCAAAGTTTTTTAACCAAGAAATGCCTCTCTTTTTTAGCATATGCATACTGTCTTTGATATCACTTAGTATAAATTTCATATGTTATTTCACATGGACTGGGATTTAGGAATTAAAACAAGAGGTTTCGTCTTCCAGTTCTCCAGTTACCTTAACAAGTTATAGCTCCAAATCCAAGAAATAAGCATTTTCCACGATATCCAAGAAGTTCAATAAAGAGAGGCAGTCCTGTATTGAAGAAACAATATATTCTCTATGCCATTTTGATTGTCTATTCTGTTTTTAAGGTCTTCTGCTCATCAATCAGTAATTTAGTTTATGAAGGGAAAAGGAAAGACAAGCAATACTTCTAGCAGCCATATGCACATCATTTAAATGACAATTGGCAGATTGTCTTCCTGCATGATCCTATATCGATGTGTTCCAGTTCAAACAGCTGTCGACATACAAGTGAGTATTATTTTAATCTCTGTTTAGTGCTTTCTACTACATTTTGGACCGTCAAAACTGGTAAGCTATTTTGATGTAATAATGAAGTGTGACGCAATTGATAACATCATACTGCAACTTTTATCCTAAATACTCTATAACGTTTCACTTGGACAATCTGTTATGTCTTAGAACTTCTTCCTCCCTAAGTCTGAGAAAAAAAAAAGATTCGGGGAGGAAAAAACCCAGAGATCCTTGAGCATATGAAGTAAACTAGAGACGAACTTCAAACTATATATCAAATTCTATCAGTATTGTTCATATTAATGCAGTAAGTGCCGGAAATCCCATTAATCAGTTTAACATAGTCCATCAAACCCTTTCCACTTTAATAATGCACAAGCCAAGGTTGTCCTATCCTATTTTCTTGTGACCATAGACACATTTTTAAACCAATCCAGTGACACCACTTTAATATCTCCTCTATAAGTAAGAGCGCACTGGAGGTTGTTTAGTATGGGCGTTAGATTATACGGTTGTACCGTTGTAGACTATATGGGATGAATTAATACATGAATTGTGACGTGTAACTAAATAATAAGTGAATTACAATCAAGTGTTTAACCAGATTTTATGAAACAATTATATTTAGTTTGCAACTGAATTAACTTTATTTCAAACTTTAGCAATGGTTTTGGATCCTCCACATTGTAAGGAACAATTTTCATCCCATATCAACAATACCATCTTTCACTTGGTACTAATAATCTCATATAATGTGTTATTAACACAAAACACATATCTGAATTCTACACACCCAACTACTAAATCAGGACTCTAACATAGAAGGAACAATTGTCTGAGTAGTGAGTACCAAATACCCCATAATGATTTAGGTCCCATGACCCTTTAATTACAGCTCTTAACACACTTAAATGACTCTGTATGCACTGAAATGAAAATTCATCACAGTAACATTTTAAAGTTATCATCTTTTCTTGTTTCCCATCAATGTTTATAAGAGGTCATCAATGGAGCAACTCTACAATTGTGCCAAGACTTTTTTTCCAACAACAATGATGTTTGGGTCAGCTGTGCACACCATTCAGATAAAATTTTACATATTTAATACAACAATTGTTCCTCAATTCCAAACAAACCGAACATGCTTCTCCATTTAAGCTCATGTCAAAAGCCAAATTAGGTGCTAGCCAGTGGACCAGTGACAACACTTTAGTATATACATATTTAATAATGGCTGAATAATATCTTTTTCACATTCTCATATACAATTCACTTCATTAACGAAACCCCACAATTCATTTTACCCTTAATGGCCTGCTTTTACGACCAAAGAAATGTTATGGCATGTTTGAAATCACAAGTCCAAAAGTCTTCATTTCTTTCTTAAACTCGGTACCGAGTAAAACTATGTCATATAAATTGAGGGAGTACATATTTAATAAGCACATAATTTTTGTTTTTCAGATTCTCAGAAACAATTCAACTCATTATCAAAACCCCACAATACAAACAAACAAAGAAAACAGCAGACACTTTCTAAACTCAGCATTAGACCGAAAAGAAAACAGCAGACACTTTCTAAACTCAGCATTAGACCAAAAAGAAACACAGCAACAAAGAAAAACACAAAGAATAAATAAAGGGGCAGAGAAATTACGAGCAACAGGTTGAAGAGAAGGCTTGAAAGGAACAGAAAGTGGAGCTGCTGAAGAGCTAAAATGGGTGCTTGAAATCTTGAGACCACTCAATTGGGAAGTTACAAAACTCAACTCTGATCTCAGTTTCAACTTTGGTAAAGAAGCCCTTTTTGCCACTGAAAATGTCCTGTGACTACTCACCACTGGTCCTCTCAGGCTTATACCTGCCACCATTGTTGCCATTTTTGGTTCCAATTCTTTAGAGTTTTAATCTTTTTTGCTTCAAAACTCTTGTTTTTGATGAAAGAGCGGATAACGAAATGGATTGTGGGTATGGTTTTGTTTCTTGGCCTTTTGTTTTTGCGTTTTGCCTATGGTGAAATTGGGAGCTTATTGCATGCGGTGCGGGTGCAAAGGTATTATTGTGCATTTCTTATTCGCTATTCCTCCTTTGTCTCTTTTTTTTCTTGAAGTCCTTTTTGTTTGGCACAGTAATAGTACTATATTGTTGTTTATGTGACACTATTTTTTAATTAATTGATTTTAAAAATAATATAATTTTATAATTAGAAATAATTTAACTTAAATTCTATTTCACTCTTAATGACAAACTGTTATAATTACATAAATATTATAATATATTCGAAAAAAGGTTCAACAATAGCCCTAACGTATTGAAAATGACTCAAAAATATATTCTGTTAACCTTTTGGTCCACAAATACCCCTAACATTTGTTTTTGGGCTCAAACTTACCCCTATATCTAACAGAATTAACCTGGTCAATTTTTTGACTTTAACTTCGCCATGTGGCATTTTTAACCCGCCACGTATATTATTTCTATTAAATAAAGCGCACCTGTATCTTTTAAAATACCCAACGACCCTGACCACGCTCATATATATTTGGACGGTCGGCTAAAAATAATTATATTTGCTAGTTAAATATATAAAAAAAATATACATTGATTATATATAAAAATATGTATATTATACATTAATATTTTAATATATATTTTACATGATATTATTTTTGGCAAAATATATAAGTTAGCACCTTAACTATGAACCAAATCCCTGTTACATACTTCTTGTGGACGAAAATAACTTTACACACTCAACCTTTCCAGAGTGTGTCTAATACACACTACTTTTGCTACGTGGCACGCGCGTGTTTAACAAAAATTATAAGCGCGTTAAACTGTAGAAATTTTCATCCCAATTCTTACTTAAAGGACACGTGTCAAAATTTTAAATTTTTGCTTTTTTAAAATTATTTTGTTTCCCTTCACTTTAACTCACCTCTCCCTGTTCTTCCCCAGAACCCCGCCCCTATCAATTTGTTGCTGACCTTCCTTCTTCCCCATTTTCATCTTCTTTCCCACCCTTTTTCCACCATCTTCTCTGTCCACCATTTTAAGAATAACAATAATATAAAAGGGCTTTG